CGGCCTTATAGCCAAATTGACTCGAAATCCACTCGAGTGGTGGCAGGCGACCAGAGATCGAAGTGCACACGAGTTTAATTAAAGAGATGATGCTTGAAGGCAATGCCTAATATCCGCAAGCATGGGAATCAGAGCCTAGGCGGTCTGCAGGTAAAGTGACATTGTACGCGCTACTAAAGACTTGAGAAATAGGGCCTGAAGTAAAAGTACACTGGGGCTGGAACTGAGTGAATGACAAGAAATGGATTTTCGGGCCCATAAGGCAGATCCGGACAGGAGGCCTGAGTAGGATCGGCCATTCAAAAGAGAAGGGGGCAATGCAATTAGCAGGTGTGTTGACGCCACGGTAAATTCGCCAAAAGGTCAAACCTCTTGAGTCAGAAGTCGTAATAGAGCGAGAGGGTAGGAAATAGATAGAGTAGCCAGGACAGTAAGAGGAGTGATAACACAACCTTTTCGGCAGAAAGTTGATCAAGGGATTGATTTCACTTGTCGCTGACGCGGTATTATCTGCTGCTGAGGCTGGCAAGACTTACTGACAATGCCGGTGAAACGCTTGAGAATGCACCAAGTTCACTGACCGACTCTGGAAATTATTATGAATATTATGGACTCCGGACAAGATGAGTTCGTCTTGGTCTTCGGGTCAATATAACCAAGTTGAGAAAACTAGGTCAAACGACTATTAAAAATGTTGGAATTTAACAAAATGGTGGTGAATTTTAAAGACCTCTGAGTCGAGTTGTAGATAATAAAAACTGTGCCAAGATAATACTCGAGCGACTCTTAGCTAATTTTTTTCAGATAGATAAAAACTATCGTTCTCTGTCTACTTAATTTAGAATAATCACATCAAACTAGGTTATTACTGAATTTATCTTATTATATCGCTTTTGACAGCATTCAAGAGACCAGTGTTGACCAGGATAAGGAAAAAATTAAGTTACACGCTCACAGGCACCTGGAGCCTGCAAAGAATGCAGTTGACTACCAAGTGGCTGAGTCAAGTTGTGTCAAACTGCGTCACCCGAATAGTCAGAAGTTAAATTCAAGATCCAGTGCGGCTTTGGTGCAGCGCTTAGGAGAAGACACCAAACGTCAGGCTATTTTTCTAGCTTCTTTATCAGATTCAGAAAGTTTCCTGAAGGACAGTCAAGTGCATACTGAGTCAGAGTTTCAAGACCGTGAAATGAGTGGGACTTCATTTACAAGGCAACCGGTCATACAAGAACCATCAGTTAACGGCGAGGTAATGCACACAGTAAAGACTATTGATTCATCAACATCTACGGCTCCAACTTCACAAATTCCTTATGTTCAAAAACCAAGTGATGGTGAGTAAAAAAGAAAATGAATAATAATGCTATATTACTAACAAAGTATTTAATTTCTTCTTATCTCCAAGAGCTAATGCTTCTGGTTTCAGCCTCTATGTCCCCTGTAAACTAATAATTTAATTTAGGTTTTTGTTTATATAGGCGTCACGAAACGGGTATAGCATTTGCGAGATTTTGTTGGAGGGACTTTCATTTCTTATGAAGGTGCATGAAGACGGATGAATCCCGTTGTAGTGTAGCCGTTTGGCATTTATACGATGTTCAGTTTGACGCAGTCCGCGAGACTTCCTTCTTCATTTCGGGTCAGAACGAGCTGAGCTTTCGTCCATCATATGATGGATATCATCAGAGCTGGGTGCCATTACTGTAAAGGTCTCGCGTTAGCATTAGGGCAAGAAGACTATCCGGCTCTATCTCATCTCTTATATAGACTAAATTAAGCTAAAAGAAAATTAAA